GTTAGGAAATTAAGTCTTGGTGGGGTTTACTACAAGTGGCTCCACTTTGGGTCTGTTGTTTCCTTTAAACATTATGTGTACTTCCAGAAACTATGTATTTCAAATATATAGAAAATGAGATTTGTATGTGTTTGTAAGTTGCAGACTAACTTATGATGCTTTGATGATGTGCTTTTATTTATTTATTTATTTATATCCTCACCTGAGGACTTTTTTGTTTTTTTGCATTTATCTTCAGATAGAGTGGGAGGGGGAGAGGGAGGAAGAGAGAGAGAGAAACATCGTTATTTATTTATTTATTTATTTTATTTTTTATTTTTTATCCTCACCTGAGGACATTTTTTTCATTTTTTTGTTCAGATAGAATGGAAGGGAGGGGGAGAGAGGAAGAGAGAGAAACATAGAAACATTGATGTGAAAGGTACACATCAAGTGGCTGTCACCCACGCAACCCAACCAGGGCCTGGGACAAACCGCAATCAAGATACGTTGCGAACACTGAGCTCGGGTCTCTCCGGACCGCAGGCCCAGCTGCTGAGCCAAACCGGCTAGGGCTAACTTTCATTATTTTTAAAGTCAAGTAAATGTGTATAGCTGTCTAATAATATTGAACAGTCATATGCCCGTTTCCCCAGCAGCAGTCATTTTCAACTCTGACAGTGGCTTCTGTATGTTTACCACTCTAAACACTGCTACTATTAATTTTGTAGTTCTCTTCTTCCCTTCTCTTTCCCTTGTATTTCCAATATATCACAACTTTTATTTAACTTAACTGTCAGTCTTTGTGTGTTGTGACCACGTAAGTATTCCTCACATACTCTTTCTTGTACAACCTTTTGTTTTCTTTGGAGTATAATAATTGTTTTGCCTTTTCCTTTCCATTAGTCTTCTAAAATGTAAAGACTTTTTAGTCCTTGCTTATCTGAAAATGTTTTTCACAGTTGGATGGAGATTTGTTTAGGCATATAATTCTGGTTTAGAAATGATTTCCTTCAGAATTTTGAATCTTTCCTTTTGTCCTATTTTGCAGTGTTGCTGTTGAGAGATGTAATTTTCTGAACGCATGGTGGATTTTTGAACTTCATTATTTTATTTGGTTGTTCATTTTATTTAATGGGTGCAGTGCTGTATAAAACTATTTGCTGACTTTCCAATCACAGAACCTGGCATGGTGTTTTATATGAGGAAATCTTCAGAATCCAGAGCAAATTTAAACTCATAAGGCCAATGAAAAAAAAAAGCCTTTTTTTAAATGAAGAAATAATGGTTTTCATCAAAGAAGTTCAGTTTAAAGGTAGACTCGGCATCTGTGGTAGTGGTATTCCAAGTTCAGTGTGTTTAAGGCTCACCTAGTGATGCTTGTTAATCAGATAGATTCCCGATCTTTTCCCAAGATACTTGGATTCATTCAGTCTGGTGTGGCTAAGAAATTTGCATGTTTCCAAGCAGGGATGGTGAATTCTGAATCATTCTGTAAGGTGCAGTTAGTTATATGAAACTGAAGGAAATTCTTCAGGCAATGTGGAAATGGATGCCAATTTAAACTTTCTCTTTTTCATTTATCCAGATTGGTAACATCTTTAGAGAAAAGAAATATATTATCTGTATGCACATTTTTTTACATATGGTTTTTGAATCTGTGGAATTATACAGGACATCCTGTTAAGCAAGTAGAAGGCTGATCAGCACTTGCCATTAAACATGGGACTGGGCTGTGTTGTAATTATTCACATGTCTCTCTGTCCCAGTACAGTCTCTGAAACAGTATGTTTTAAAGAATTTTTTGAGATATGTTATCTGTATAGAAATTGAGATATGTTATCTGTATAGAAATTCCTTGCTCTTACGTGGTTCCCTGTAGAAAAGCAGTATGAATAATTATATGGGCCTAGAGTGTTCTTTCTGTGTGTTATGGTCTTCGATATATTTTATCATCATGTTTGGATATCTTTATTCTTTAAAGATTAAAGTATTGTGAAGAGAACAATTAGGATATTGCTTGTGATTCAGCATACGTCTATTATCTATATTCAGAGTTTGAGAATAATTCCTTCAGTTTGGGGTTTGCTTAGAATTTAGCATGTGTTTATCTAAGTGCCGTCATTTGTTCAGCATAAAGGCAGACAACACTTGAAACCACTTTTATCAGCAACTCTTGGCATGTAGTACATGTGTTAATTATATAATCATATTTACTTTATAAAGTAATTCAGACTCACCCTCCTGCTTTATTAGCTGTTAATATATGTACATGAAAATTTTTGTGTTGGATTTTCACTTTTAATTTTGGAAAAAGTACAATATAGCTACAGTAAAGAAAATGTAAAAACCCAAATCACCCGTTATCTTTTCATCTTTGCATAAAAGCTAAATTACCCCAAATAATTTATATTTTTGATTGGCTGACATATTCATTGATTAGAAAAAAAATCATGTGTCTCTGAAACAGTATAACCAGTGTTTTCTATCCTCTAATATAATTATGAAATAATAGTTTAATTATTCAGTTTAAATTCTCTTGTCGTTTCAGACAGTATGGAGACTTTATGTATGCTATACTGTTTATATGAATTTTTAGTACCTGTTACCCCTTAAAATTCAAGTGACTATTAAAGAAAGTGGTATCTATTAAAATAACATTTAGCAGCTTTTGCTCCTCCCATTAAAAAAATACCCACGTTTTGAGAATTAAAAAAAATGTATTTTATTTCTTCTAGGTGATTAAATATTAAATATTAGAAACATTGCTTTTGTTAGCTGTTACTGAGGCCAAAAAAATGGAACTTATTTTTGGAAAACTCATTTATTATGTAAGCATGCCGCAGAGATTCACAGGTCACGGAAGTTCTGTGGCCACTGTAGGTGTGCTCACAGCAACAGAGCTGTTTCCCACTCGTAGTTCTATCCTGTGTAGGAGCGTGTCGGATATTTGGTGCCTTTTGAGTGTTGATATGTGTACTAAAGTAATGTTAATGTTTCTGCTTCAGTAATATGTATGCATAAAATATATTATGAAAAGCAGAAAACCCTTGCCCTGGCCGGTTTGGCTGAGCAGTGGAGAGTCGGTCCCTGGACCAATGAGTCGTGGGTTCGGTTCCTGTCAAGGGCACGTTCCTGGGTTGCAGTTCGTCCCAGGCCCTGGTCTGGCTTGTGCGGGAGGCAACCAGTCGATGTGTCCCTCTCACATCGATGTTTCTCTCTCCCCCTTTCTCTCCCTGCCACTCGGTCTGAAGATAAACAGAAAAATATCCTTGGGTGAGGATTTAAAAACAAAACAAAACAGAAAACCCTTCTAACTCTTGGTAACCAAAATAGAGACTGGATAATACGGAGACACCGTAGACTCTCAGAGAAGTCTTTTTAAGTGATATTCACCTAAGGTGATTAGCAGAAAAATGCATTTTTATAAGGGGAAAATTTTTTTTAATTTGAAGAATATATTGTTGCAAAATGTTTAGGAACTATAAATTTATTCATTCATTCACCTATGTGTTAATATTTCACTTTTGGTGATTTTTTTTTCCTTTGAATTGTTTTTCTTTTTTTTAATTTTGTTTTTCAATACAGTTTACATTCAGTATTATTTTGTATTGTTTTCAGGTGTGTAGCACAGTGATTAGACAGTCATATACTGTACATTTTTTAGAAAGAGGAGAGAAGGAGGGATTGAGGAGAGAGGGAGGGAGGGAGGGAGGGTGAGAAAGAGAGAGAGAGAGAGAGAGAGAGAGAGAGAGAGAGAGAGAGAGAAAGAGAAACATTGATTGGTTGCCTCCAGCAGGTGCTCCAGCCAGGGATCAAACCCACAACCTGGGCATGTGTCCCTACTGGGAATCAAACCCACTACCTCTTTGCTACCCCTTTGTGTACTCATCAACTGATAACACCAGCTAGGGCAACAGTGATATACTTTACGAAGTGATTCCCAGGTATTTCCAGTACCCACCTGGTACCATACATAGTTATTATAGTATTATTGACTATATTTTCTGTGCTGTACTTTACATATCTGTGATGAATTGTTTTTCACACTTGATAATCCAATAGCAACAGCTTTTCTAGTTTCCTCTTTAATGCACATGTGATGTGTTTGTTTTTGCTTGTTATTTTGTAAGGAACAAGTAGTGACTTTTGTTTAAAAAATCATATGACATTATGATAATTAGAAAAATTTTGTGAGCCCTGAGCAGTATGTATAACTCGACAAGTTTATCAAAATTCTCCTGTCAAATATGTAGCTATATTGAATTTTTCAAGCTAGTGAGGATAATTTAAAAAGGGCTTATAATAAATGCTTCTGCCTGGATAACCTTACTGTTTATCAAGTCTGGACAAGCCTTTAAAAATTGACATCCATATCCAAACTCATACCCAGGGCTTAGGATCAAAGGTAATTGCCATCAGACTTCAAGGTCTGCACGAGCCTGTAGATCGTTATTTGCAGCTTGCTCTGTTGAAGTTCCTTGTGTTTAAATTTTAACTAGTCTTTAGAGCAATTACAGTAAAGGTAAATTAGCTAATCCTGATTGAATGTGTATTACTTTTAGGTTCTCCCATGCAGTGGCTTCTTTAAAAATCTGAAGATTATATTAGGCACTGGTTTTCATAGTTTGCATAATGTCTTTAAAATCCATGTTTACTCCTTATAGACTCAGAAATTGCAATAATCTGAAGGTTTTTTATTATACTCTTTTTTTTGAATAATTAGGAAATAACTGTAAAGTGCTTTATGTTATAAGGGTTTACTGCATAACAGTTCCTTCCACAGGTTATCCTCTCTATAAATGTCTACAAAAACAGTCCATGTTTTAGGTTACGCAACACCAGGGTTGTAAAGCCAGTCTAAGTATATACATTTATGTATATTCTTAACTGCGATTTGGATTCTTAATACCAACTTTGCATTTTGAATATTCCATACTTTGTATACGTCATCACTGTAAAGGTAAAATAGCCTTTCTTAAATGTTTGTTTATTCATTCACTTTTCCCCTCTTTCAACAGGGGGAAATGCAGTGTTGCCCTTTTGAATGAGACAGAGTCAGTATTGTCATATCTTGATAAAGAGGTAATTCACAATTATACTTGTTTTGTATGTTTTTCCCATTATTTCACATGAAGCCCATACCTTGAATTTATTATTATTATTTTTTGTACCAAATTATTGCACCACCATAGCAGTATTATAGTAAAAGTTTAATGACTAGAATGTATTTGAATAATTTTATTTTTCTGGTTAATTGAGATGAGTTGACAAAAACTCCTATGTCTTCTCTCTTTTTTCAGTTGGTGATGAAAAGCTCTATAAAATATAGTACGTGATTTAGTTGGTAGTAGAAGAAATATTTTTGGCAATAGAAGAATATTTCATGAAGAAATATTCATGAAAAAGTGATTTTACTGTAATTGGTCCTCCTCCCTGTTTTTGTTTTTTGTTTTTATTGTTGTGTTTTTATAAATAGCTTTTCTTTTAGACTCTTTTCAGATGAGATCTTACCGTTGGTGATCTGCTTTCTTTCTTGGAACCCTAATAAACTTTGCCAACTAAAAAAATTTCTTTCTGTGCCCTGGCCAGTTTGGCTCAGCGGTTAGAGCGTCGGCCTGCGGTCTGGAGAGACCCGGGTTCGGTTCCCGCTAAGGGCACGTACTTCGGTTGCAGTTTGTCCCCGGCCCTGGTTGGTCGTGCGGGTGGCAGCCACTCGATGTGTCCCTTCACGTCGATGTTTCTCACTCTCTCTCCCTTCCTCTCTCTCCCTCCCATTCTATCTGTACAAAAAATGGAAAAATATCCTCGGGTGAGGATTAAAAAAAAAAAAAAAAAAAAATTTCTTTCTGTAAACTTCCACAAGAAATATTTTAACATTTTTTAGCAAGTTTAATTAGAGCATGTGCTTTAGTAACAGGAGGAAATGCTTATAAACAGAATATTCCACATTAAGCACAGTTTTATGTGACTTATTAGCATTTGTATTATGAGAAAAATATTTTACTGGTGATGATACTTCAGCATTTAGCCTTTATAGTTTCATGGTGTTTTTGTTTTCCCCAAATCTTTATTATATAGGGTCCCCCAAAAATGTATACACAGCTTTGAATAATTATAAAGCCAGTGTTTATTAAAATATATTTCATTTCCAAAATGTAATAATATCTACAGACACCCTGAATACATTTTTTTCTTTTTTTATCCTCACCCGAGGACACTTTTTTTTTTGCATTTATCTTCAGATAGAGTGGGAGGGAGCGAAGGAGTGAGTGAGAGAGCGAAACATCAATGTGAGAGAGACACATCAAGTTGTTGCCACCCACACGACCCCCACCCGGGCTGGGGACAAACTGCACCCAAGGTATGTGCCCTTAGCGGGAACCCGATCTGGGACTATCTGATCCATGGGCCGAAGCTCCAACCGCTGAGCCAAACCGGCCAGGGCCTGAATACATTTTTTTTATACCCTGTATATATATATTTTTGGGATACCCTGTATGTATGTATTTTTTAAAAAGAATAAAAGGAACATATTTTTTTTTATCATACTCAAATATTGTCCTCTTATCTCAAATGAAGAAACCGTAACTGAAAAGATAAATAAAAATATGTAGAACTACTGTACATTAGAAACTAATAAAGAAAAGTGAAAGGAAAGAAATATTCAAGGCGGAATAAAAGGCTAACTAACTCCTTATAACTTGTGCTTGTGAAATTTAGAAAAGAAGGTACTCTCCGGTTTGTTGTCAGTCTGTCCAACAGAATAGATAATGATAATGCCAGGAATTAGCACAGAAGCAGAAATAAAAGGAGGAAACATTTAATATGTTTCAGTGTATTTTATTGGTACATTTGTCTGTTGAGTGGATTTTAATGGTATGTTTTGCCTTTTAAGTTACATTTAGCAATTTGGAGATGCTAAGGACTATGTAATAGTGAAAATTTGCAAAGGTCTTTAGGATTTTTTTCTCTACACTTGGTTTTTTCACCACTTAGTCTTTTTATCGATCTCTGAGATAGGAACTGACTTCTGGCAGTGTATTTAAGGACACTTTTTTTTTTTTTTTTTTTTGTAAAAGGAGCAGTTTAGGAAAAATGAAACTGCTTACATTACATTTTTTATATAATTTGAAAAACACTTTTGTAATTTAGATTCGCTACTATAACCATTATAAGACTGTCCTTGAGTATTTTTTTAGTCATATTAAAATAATTCAGTTTGGCATATTTGAAGATGGTAAGTAACTCAAAGGCAACTTTCTAATCATTTTTTACTTGGCAACTCTGTGTTCTTGACTTAACAGCCTAACTTTGCTAGCTTTTCAAAATGGTTTTAGAGCAGTTAAATGGTTTTCTTGTAGACTAAAACAAAGAATAAATCTTTATAATCTACTTTTATTGTAAGCTATTTGTTTTGGCTTTATTTAATATTACACTGTTTTACATGATGACAGTATCTTCATGTTCTCCTTAAACATTTATGAATTTATTCACCAAAATGAAATTTTATGCACTCTGTGAAGTTTTGTAGTTTCATTATTGTGACATTGGATTTATTGTCTTATAAAAAGTTTACCTAGATATTTTCTCTCTTTTTTTCAGGATACTTTTTTCTACTCATTGGTCTATGACCCCTCAGTGAAGACACTATTAGCTGACAAAGGTGAAATCAGAGTGGGACCTAGATATCAAGCAGACATTCCAGAAATGCTCTCAGAAGGTATATTTTAATTTGGGTTTCAGGTCCTGTGAAAACATATACTATATCTTGAAACTCAAACATTGTTTTCCTCATATGGTAGAACAGCTTTTAGGCTAAAGTTTAAAATGTATGAGTTCTTCCAATTTTAGAAATGCAGAAAACAGCAAGGGACAATAATTTATTTAATAAATTATTTATTTTTGATTTTATATTTTTATGAGTATTTTGGCTGTTTTTTTTTTTTAGAACAAATTTAAGAATGTTTGTGCTGCTGAACTTGTGTTTTAATATGGCTTGCTCATACCTTGAGATCCTGAGTGCCCTTAAACCATCTATCCGAGGAGGCCATGAAATCTAGTGAACAGTTACATTTTGATGGGGATTTTGGCTGATCTGGGTAGTTTATGTGCCAGAGAGGTTCATAGCTTTGCATTTTAAGAACATCTTCCCAGCAAGATATTTATTATGACTTCATCCTCAAAACCTTTATTTTCTGATTTCAAAAATTAAACATTCTTACCATTAAAAAAATAAAACAGAAAATAGGGAAATGTGTAACATAGGAAATGAATGTCATCCCCTTTCCTTCATTCCAAACCCATGTTTAGTTACTCTGATCCGATAGGGTATGTTTGTTTTGTTTGCACTTTGGCTCATACTCCATCCAGGAATGGTCTATGTGCAATGGCAGGTTGCACACGTTATTTTGTAACTGCTTCTTTCAGTTAACAGTGTATCTTTAGCATCTTTTTCCATGACTAGAGTGACTTTATTCCTTTTAGTGACTGTATAGTTCTTAAATTTGCATAGATGTATGGTAATTTCCTTTTCCAGTTCCCTGTTGATACTTATAGAAGTTTAGATTTTTTTTTGTCATTATAAATGATGCTGTTAAAAAAATCTATAAATAGCCCTGGCCAGTTTGGCTCAGCGGTTAGAGCATCAGCCTGCGGTCCAGAGAGACTCGGGTTCAGTTCCCGCTAAGGGCACGTACCTCGGTTGCATTTTGTCCCCGGCCCTGGTTGGTCGTGCGGGTGGCAGCCACTCGATGTGTTCCTTTCATGTCAATGTTTCTCTCTCTTTCTTTCTCTTCCTCTCCCTCTCTCCCACTCTATCTGAACAAAAAATGGAAAAATGTCCTCGGGTGAGGGTAAAATGAAAAAAAATCTATACATATATTTATGCTGTGTAAATATTTTTCAAGCATAGCTTCTTGGAAGTGAAATGTTATGTACATTTTAAATATTGAAAATGCTGCTTTGTCATTCGAAATAAGCTGTTAATAAGTTATAAATGAGAGAACTAGATACCTCCAGCAACACTGTGATTATGAGGAATTTTTCCCCCCTTCATTTTTCTTCTCTACATTTTGAATTCTCATTGTCTTTATTTAAAAAAAAATAGAATTTGAGATTATGCTTGCCTTAGTTATCTTTAGCCTTTCTGTAAATTTCTTGTGCATTTTCTACTTGGATATTTATCTTTTTATGTATTGGCAGGAGTTCTTGGAATATTAAAGGTAAACAAATACGAAAGTATTTGCCCGTTGTCTATAAGTATTACAAACATTTCCCCTCACATTTTATTATTTGATTGTTAAAAAATTTTAGCAGTGATTTAAATATGTTTTATTTACTTTTTGTCATACAGAAGTTTAGAATTTGTTAGTCGTTTCCTTTAAGGCCTTTATGATTTGCATTATTCACAGAAAGGCCTCCACTTTTGTTTCTGGTCTCTGATTTTTTTTCCCCTCTTTTATTGAGTTTAGAGAGAGAGGAAGGGAGAGGGAGAGGGAGATAGAAACATTGATGAGAGAGCATCAATTGGCCGTCTCCTGCATGCCCCCCACTGGGGATCGGGCCCACAATCTGGGCATGTGCCCTGACTGGAAATCGAACCAGCGACCTCTTGGTGCATGGGTTGACGCTCAACCCCCTGAGCCATGACAGCTGGGCGGATTGGTTGCTTTTTAATAGACTGTAAATCAGTTTATTATAGACTGAGAGATTGCATTTATTCACATCCTGATCTGTGCAAATCATCTTGTCTTCCAAAAATAATTTTGGATGTTTTATAGTCCTTAATGTTTTTTTGGTTTTTTTTTTTTGCGGGGTCTCCAGAAGTGCAGGTTTATTGGGAATCAGCCTGACGGGCTACCTCTAAGGAGAGAGTAGCAACCAGCTTGTACAGACCAGGGATTTTAAAACTCAGGGCTGGGGGGTGGTCATTCAGCCGAGGAGACGTGGTCATCTTTGATTGGTCGGGCCTGGGTTCTCCCAAGCTCTTGATTTGTAGGGGGCTGGGGTCTCCTGAAACTTGTTTTTCTTGTCGAGCAACCGTTTGCAGTTTTGGGTGGGTTAGGGTAGTTCCATCATTCCGTTCCTCCTGACTGGAGTGATGGGTTTTGGTTTTCTGGAATGAGAGGCTGTCTCGACGTGGCTGCTGCTTTTATTCCGTAGTTGTAGGACTTCCATTCAGCTCGATTTCAGGCGGTTTTGAATGGTGGTTGTTCTGTAGTTTAGTTGTAACTTTGATGTGATTGTGGGAGGATGCAATACCGTGTTTACCTACCCGCCATCTCGACCGGAAGTCCTGTGGTCTTTAATGTTTGATGTGAGACTTATCATTGAACCTAAGAGTTCACTAAATATTTAATATTAAAAAATAAAACAATTTTTAAATGTTACAAATAGTGCTTCAGTGGGTATAATGGATAATTTTGTACTCTGGATATAATGTTCCTAAAAGTGCACTTGCTATATCAGAGGGCATGTGTATTTGAAATTTTTACAGAATGCCACTTGTCTTCCAGGTAGTCATTTAAAGTGGATTTTTTTCCTGTTTTTTTTTTTTTTTTCTGTTTTAATTAAGATATAATTTATATGTTGTAAGTACATACCACCCTTTTTAGTGTACAGTGCTGTGAGTTTTTGACAAATGTATATGCTTCTAGTGAGATAGTTTAGTAAATCCATCTGTGCACAGGCCAAAAGCCAGGAACATCCCTTGTGCTCATGTGTGTACAGGCACCCAGCCCAAGGTCTGTGTCTTCTAAGCTGCCTTTTGTTACTCCTCCCTGAACTCTGATCTCTCCCTTCTTCGAACTGTGCAAACCTATTGCTCAAGTAATCTTTAATACTATTTTTATTATTTGACTTAAATTTTGTACTGCCTAAGTCATTGATTATATGGTTCTCCCTTGAGTATGGAACATAATCCTAGACATTTAAAAAGTCTAGAAATTTTTGTGTATTGCTCATGTAAAGTAATGAAGCTGGGATGTTGTAAGTAACACTGGGCAGAAAAATCAGAATATGTAGTCTCACAAGTTCCCATTTATTCTAAAAACTATTTAAATATAATATTTGCCCCTGTAAAGCAAAAGCCTAGTTAGAGTGATGTAATGTGGAATGCATACCTATCTAGCTTAGAATTTTAAAAAGTTATACATAAAATGCAATAAGTTATTCTATAGTCCTTATCAAAATGGACTTGAAGTTCTTTTAGTTGAGAGGAAAGGTTCTGCCCTGGCCCGTTTGGCTCAGTGGTTAGAGCGTCGGCCTGCGGTCCGGAGAGACCCGGGTTCGGTTTCCGCTAAGGGTACGTACTTCGGTTGCAGTTTGTCCCCGGCCCTGGTTGGTCGTGCGGTGGCAGCCACTTGATGTGTCCCTTTCACATCGATGTTTCTCTCTCTCTGTCTCTTCCTCTCTCTCCCTCCCACTCTATCTGTACAAAAAATGGAAAAGTATCCTCGGGTGAGGATAAAAAAAATAAAATAAAAATAAATAAATAAATAAATAAATTAAAAAAGAGGAAAGGTTCTAAACAATTTATGGCATTGGAAGAGTTATGCCAGTTATCTGAAAAGCATTCTGTGTATTTAGAAAATGTGACCAAATGTTCACTAATATAATAGATCTTAGAGTTCATTAACAAGTATTACTTGCCTTTAACATAATGTTTCTCCTTATAAACTTTATTTAGGCAGTAGAACCCTTTCTTTTCTCTCTCTCTCTCTCTCTCTCTTTTTTGTGGTTCAGTGGATTGAGCATTGTCTCGTGCACCAAGAGGTTGCTGGTTCAATTCCCGTTCAGGGCACATGCCCTGGTTATAGGCCTGATCCCCAATGGAGGGCATGCAGAAGGCAGCCAGTTGATGTTCTCTCTCATTGATGTTTCTCTGTCTCTCTCCCTCCCTCTCTCTCACTCTTTAATATCAATAAAGAAAAAATCCCAAAATAAAATTTGCTTGGTTAGAAGTACTTATGATGAAGCCCTTTTGTAATATAGCATAGCAAAGGGGTTCCACTGTATTCTCTTTGGCTCCTCCCAGTTTTTTTGAATCTTAAAATTATTTTATTGCAAATAATAGGAATTGTGGTAGATAATGCAGTTACACTGGAAACAAAAGTATTAATACCTCAGATCATCCCTTCTGACTCACTGTTTTTTTTTTAATCCTCACCCAATTACATTTTTTGCATTTATCATCAGATACAGTGGGAGGGAGAGAGGGAGGAAGAGAGAGAGAGAGAAACATGGATGTGAGAGAGACACATCGAGTGGTCGCCACCAGCACGACCCCAACTGGGACTGGGGACAAACTGCAACTGAGGTATGTGCCCTTTAGTGGGAACCAAACCCAGACTCTCTGGTCCGTGGGCTGACGCTCTAACCGCTGAGCCAAACCGGTCAGGGCACCAACTCACTGTTAACTGCTGTTATTAATTTAACATATTTTCCCAGACTGTTATATAAATATTATATAGAGATCCATGAAAGTATATTCCACACAAAGTTTCATGTGTTAGAGATCCAAGTTTATTTTTATCGATCTTATATTACATGTATTATGGTAGGGCAAGTTTCCCTTATTGTTCTTTAGAATTTCTTAGTGGAGAGGTCTCATAGATTTTTTTTCCTTACTGTGGAAATTTATCATCAGTTTGCCAATTTCTTCTCTTCTAGATTTATTAGGATTCTGATAGAAATTATATTAATAATATATATTACTTTGGA